ATTTCTTTTGCTAAGTGAGACATTTGTTAAGTGAGTTTTACCCCCTTTTATGACCTTTCTTGCCACAGTTGTTAAGTGAATCACTGCAGTTGTTAAGTTAGTAACATGGTTGTTAAGTGAATCTGGCTTCCCCATGGACTTTGCTTGTCAGAAGGTCACAAAAGAGGATCACATGGCCCCGGGATGCTGAGACTGTCATAAATATGAATTAGTTGCAAAGTGGCTGAATTTTGATGATGTGACACACACACACACACACAATTGTGCTACAGATTGTTCGAATCACTTTCCAAGATCTCAAAGGAAATCGATAATAATTCCAATTTAGCCCATGCAGGATATTATTCCACTACGTTTTCATTCCAACAGCAAAGGGCTGATAAAATGTAATGATATTTTTACAGATCAGATAAATTAAAGCTACTTTCCTCAAATGCTAATCTCAAGTTAGCTAAGGAGAACCTTGGTGATCCACTTTCTCAAGTTTCCCAGTAACTGCCTTGAGTAACTTATCAACCGAAAGGAAATATTGATTCAATATTAACCCAGGAATACCTCTAAGAATATAAATCATGCAAGGGACAATGTTCATTTTAATAAGATTAACTTATTAAGCCCATAGACTTAAAGGAATTTTAAGCCATATATTAAAACCATTTCAAGCCTTTCCAAAAGTTTCAATATATCACATGAAGTGTTAATACCACTTTACAAGGCCTTGGTAAGGTCACACTTGGAATACTGCATACAGTTTTGGTCACCACAATATAAAAAAGATGTTGAGACCCTAGAAAGAGTGCAGAGAAGAGCAGCAAAGATGATCAGGGGACTGGAAGCTAAAACACATATAAAGAACGGTTGCTGGAATCGGGGATGTCCAGTTTAATGAAAAGAAGGACTAGGGGTGACATGATAGCAGTCTTCCAATATCTCAGGAGTTGGGAGTCAAGCTATTCTCCAAAGTACCTGAAGGCAGGATAAGAAGCAATGGATGGAAACTAATCAAGGAGAGAAACAACCTAGAACTAAGGAGAAATTTTCTGACTGTGAATGCTCCAACACTGGAAGTTTTTAAGAAGAGATTGGACAACCATTTGTCTGAAATGGTATAGGGCAGTGGTGGTGAACCTATGGCACAGAGAGGCAGAGCCCTCTCTGTGGGCACACGTGCCATTGCCCCAGCCTTGCCTCCCCCCACAACCCCCTCCTTTCCAGCAGCCCCCCTGAAGGAGAGTCGCCCTCGAGCGTGGCCCACACGGAGCAGCGCAGCCAAGGACATGGCAGCCAAGCAGCGTAGACAAGACTCTGCCCTCACACCCCATCATGCAGTTGATGCTGAAGGGCACGGGCAGAGGGTGTGGCCACCATAGTGCTGCTGGGCTGCCTGGGCGATCTGCGGTGAGCCCTGGAGGCGGTGAGTGGTCCTGTGGGCAGGTGGGGAAGAGGATGGGGGGCAGAATGGGGGTGGGGCAGGGGGTGGAGTGGTGGTGGGGCAAATTTTTGGGCACTCAGTCTCTAAAAGGTTCGCCATCACTGGTATAGGGTTTCCTGCTTGAGCNCAGGGGGGTGGAGTGGGGGCGGGGCCAATTTTTGGGCACTTGGTCTCTAAAAGGTTTGCCATCACTGGTATAGGGTTTCCTGCTTGAGCAGGGGGTTGGACTAGAAGACCTCCAAAGTCCATTCTATTCTATTCTATTCTATTCTATTCTATTCTATTCTATTCTATTCTATTCTATTCTATTCTATTCTATTCCATGAGGCCGGTGGGGGTCCCTGAGGGAAGAGAAGTGGAACATGGGCTGCTTCAGGAGTTGGTAAAAGTCTTGAGCACCATGGAGCTGGTGGACCCGGGGCTTGTTCTCCGCCTCTCAAGGCATCCCCCAACCTTAAGGCAACCCATGCTCTGTTTAACAACCGCATCACGGAGAAGAGGTATGGAGGTTGTTAAGCAAGGGGATGACATGGCTCTCTTACATAATGACTATGAAGAGTTGTGACTGTAATAGGCAGGCTCTATTAAGGTCATGAATCAAGGACTACCTACATACAGATAGTTCTTGACATAGAACAGTTCATTTAGTGACTGTTCAAATTTACAACACATTGAAAAAAAGTGACTTATGACCATTTTTCACACTTATGACCATTGCAACATCCTGATGGTCATGTCATCAAAATTTAGCCACTTGGCAACTGATTCATATTTATGACAGTCTCAGCATCCTGGGTCCATGTGATCCTCTTTTGTGACCTTCTGACAATGGGGGAAGCCAGATTCACTTAACAACCATGTTACTAACTTAACAACTGCAGTGATTCACTTAACAACTGTGGCAAGAAAGGTCATAAAAGGGGGTAAAACCCACTTAACAAATTGTCATAAGTTGAGGACTACCTGTATCATATGGATGGATACATTCATTTAAGAGAATCAGAAAGAAAAAAAAATATTATTATTAACCTAATGAGCAAGGCATATATTTTGGGAAAGATGTGCCTGGAGTCTTATAAACATGAGTGCATCATTTATAAAATAATTCTCAAATCCAACAAAACTGATTTAAAATGAACACAAGCATGAAAAAAAAATGACAAAAGGCTACCTGAGGGGGGGACACCCCAAATTTTACTAGAAGATTGTTCTAGGAATATTTATCCATGCTGGCATAAAATTATGGCAATCACAGGCCTCTGATTTTTGGAAGGCTCCAGCCTGGCACCAGATGGGGAGGTTGATTTAAATATAAAATGAAATTAAAAATTGGGGCAGGAAGTTCAATCAGACAGAAATATTTGTAAATATAAAAAGCTGCAAATGAGATACACATTAGTTTATTTAGTTAGTTATTTTATTAATCAAATTTAATAATATAATAATGAAAAAGTTAGAAGGGACCTAGGCAGTCATCTAGTCCAACCCCCTGCTCAGGCAGGAAACCCTATACCATTTCAGACAAATGGCTGTCCAATTTCTTCTTAAAAACTTCCAGTGTTGGAGCATTCACCGCTTCTGGAGGCAGGTTGTTCCAGTGGTTAATTGTTCTAACCGTCAGGAAGTTTCTCCTTAGTTCTAGGTTGCTTCTCTCTTTGGTTAGCTTCCACCCATTGCTCTTTGTCCTGCCTTCAGGCGCCTTGGAAAATAGCTTGACTCCCTCTTCTCTGTGGCAGCCCCTGAGATATTGGAACACTGCTATCATGTCCCCCCTCATCCTTCTCTTTGTTAAACTAGACATACCCAATTCCAGCAACCGTTCCTTATATGTTTTAGCCTCCAGTCCCCTAATCATCTTTGTAACTCTTCTCCGTACTCTTTCTAGAGTCTCAACATCTTTTTTATACAGCCATCTCAGCAAAAGCAATTCTCAGTGGCAAACAAGAAACAACATGAACAATAAATAAAAGCAAAAAAAAAGTACAATATAAAAAAGTTATTAATAAACATAATAAAAGCAATAATACAATCCACAGAAGAGAAAGGATTTTTAAAAAGGCCACCTCAATAAGGTATCTATCTGAACAGGTTCCCAGTCGCTTAGGAGCCCCTAATTATCTCCACTCAGAAAAATTGTAGAATTTTGGTAGTTGTCAAATTCTGTCATCTGTTTCTAAGAAATGATACTTTCTTGCGTAACACCTCCAAAATTGAACAGAATTTGAAGCTTTGACTTTCTTACGAGGAAAGATAAGGAAGAAAGCTGTAGTATATCTGATGTGAATGGAAGAACGGTTGGTAAGCAAAGATGAAGAACACCAAAAGCCTTACAAAGTCAGGTTTTTTTTTAATGCCAGGTCATAATCTTTTAATTCCAGAGCACTATCTGAAAGGTATTCTGAACCATGGACAGCACCAAGACCTATCTCTTGCATTTTTCCAACCACTATATCACGGTTTCTCCTTACAACATCGTTAATCAAGGAGCTGTTGATTCAGTTCTACAGGGGAAATATTGAGTCTGTCATTTGCACCTCTATAACTGTCTGGTTTGGCACAGCAACCAAACTAGATAGATACAGACTTCAACAGATAGTTAAGATTGCAGAAACAATAATTGCAACATGCCTGCCTTCCATTGAGGACCTGTATACTGCAGTAAGAGGGCTGTGAAAATATCTACAGAGTCTCACATCCTGGACATAAACTGTTTCAACTTCTTTCCTCAAGATGATGCTATTGCATGCCAAAACAATCAGGCACACTTTCCTGCCCTTGCCCCCATGCTATAACTCTGCTAAACAACTAATTCCCACAACACTGTCTAATGCCCTAGGATGTCAAACCAACTAGGAGGGCTGTACTGCCTAGTATCCTTCTCATCTCTTCATTTTTCCTATTACCTATTTCCTTAGCTTCTTATGACTATAACTTGGTTGCTTGTATCTCCTGATTTATGTTGATCATCTTTATTTAGTATCCTATTATGATTTAAGTTGTTTGCTTATTTAGTATCCTATGACTATCACTGAGTTTGAATCTTATGATTTATAATGATTGTGTTTTATGATTATGATCATGGTTTATCACTTGTTGCTTGTATGTATGCTGAGAGCTTATGCACAGCAGACAAATTCTTTATGTGTCTTTTCACACTTGACCAATAAAGGATTCTATTGTTAATTCCAATGGTCTTCCTTCAATAAACTGCACCAGGAAATCCAAAGGGATGCAAAATGATTCCCAAGTCAAAGTTAACAACAAAGAAATCCAGAGAGGAGATCACTATTACCGTTGGTACAGATTCATAAGAAAAGTGACATCTGTTTTGTCATGATTGAAGAACATTCAAAATCTATCTTTCCATTATAAATTCTTTCTGGGATTCAACTTGGATTGAAGCCATGGATGCTCCCTTCACCATAGTTTCAAATACTGGATTATGGATTTTGACCTGTTGCTGCTTCAATCTTACCTTGAGTAAAGTTATGGTACGCTATTGCTGATGGATAGTTCACCCACTCCTCATCTTGAAGAATTGGGATTGCTCCTTCAAACAAGTCTGGGATTAGATTTTAGGGAAAGATGGAGTCTTTTTTCTGAATGCTTTCCAAATGGCTTCTTTCACTTCATTGTTCCTAATAGTATAAACAAACGGATTGAGCACTGGAGCAACGGTAGTATGCACCACAGAAACGGAGCGGATTATACCGAAGGAAGAATTCTTGATAGTAGGCCTTAAATAGACAAAAAAGACTGTCCCATACAAAATGCAGACCACAACCAGGTGGGAAGCGCAGGTAGAAAAGGCCCTCTGCTGTCTGGTTGTTGAAGACATTCGGAGAATGGTGAAGATGATGAAGAGGTAAGAAATGAGGGTGAAAAGCAGGGAGGACATCACCACAACAACAGTAATAAGGAAACCCAGGGCTTCAATGAGATGTGTATCTCCTCCTGCAATCTTTAATACAGGTCCAACATCACAAAAGAAATGATTGATAATGTTGAATGTGCAGAAGGGTAGGTTAGCTATCATTATTACTTGACAAATCATGTAGACAAGAACCACAAACCAGGCGGTCATCGATAGCTTAAAGCAAACCCCAGAAGTCATGATGGTGGCGTATCTCAAAGGATAGCAAATGGCTAAGAATCTGTCCAAAGATATCAAAGTGATGATGAAAAATTCTGTAATGCCAAAGAAGAAGTAAAAGAACAGCTGTGTTATACAGCAGTAGAAGCAGATGGAATTGTTTGTAGAGAGATAGTTGACCAGCAATTTAGGAATAAAGGCTGTGGTGTGTCCAATGTCAATGCAAGACAGGTTGCTAAGGAAGAAATACATGGGCTTCTGGAGATGGGGGTCCAAAATTACCATGACAATGATGAGCCCATTGCCCATCAGACAGAGAAGGTAGAGCAGAAAGATACCTGTATGCATCACACTTTCCATTCGCTCTACACTTGGCAGTCCAACAAGGATAAACTCTACCGCTCTCGTACAGTTGGTCAAATTCATGTTCTCCTATAAGAAGGGAAAATATGAGGTTTTCCCTGACTTACTCTTTAAGCACATTTCTAAACACAGTTTTCATGAATTACTGTTGTGTTTGCAACATGTAAAACCTAGTAGCACATTTAGTACGATAAATGCACTTGTACTATTGCCAAGACTTAATTTATTGGAATTTCAGGTCTTTCATTTAAAGCATTATTCATCCTTCCAGCTTTTGTATCTTCTGTAGATAGAAAATACTGATGAACAAAATCCAGAGTTTGATGGAAGATGTTGAGAATAGTAGGAGAACATTTGTAGATGGAAACTCATCTGGATATGGAACACAAATGTGTTGCTGAGAGAAAGATAAGATAAGATAAAATAAGATAAGGTAAGGTAAGACAAGACAAGATAAGACAAGACAAGGCAAGACAAGACAAGACAAGACAAGACAAGACAAGACAAGACAAGACAAGATAACCTTTATTGTCATTTTTTTTACTGTGGGCACAATGGGACACATCAAAAATGAAATTTAGTTGCCTGCTCTCAAAGTGAAACACATACTATATACAACATATGTATAGACCCACACCCCTACATATACTTAACAAATAAATATTAAATACTGTACATCTTGAATATATAATGGAAGGAGGAGGTTTGAGAGTTCACAAGGTTAATGCTGTATGGAATGAAACTATGGCTGAATCTGGATGTTCTGAATCTGGATGTTCTGCTGCGAATACCACAGAGAAAATGAAGATGGTGAATGGATAAGCAGTTATGAAAGTAAGATAGAAAATTATGATATTCTGCAAATAGGAAATATGTTGAGATATTGAAGAAAATCAGTGCAGAATGTCCCACCAAATAAATAATAAAATTCATGGTCATTAGCTCGTAGACATTTTATGGAGATTCTCAGTCATCCAAGTCATGGTTGTCCCAAAGATGCTTTTTCAGAGGCAACTAGACTTTCTTTGCTTTTCCTTGAAGATGTTTCACTTCTCATCCAAGTAGCTTCCTCAACTGAAATGTCTTCAAGGAAAAACAAAGAAAGTCCAGTTGCCTCTTGAAAAAGCAACTTTGGAATAATTTGTAGACATCCACATAGATTCTTGTAAATGAATATTTAGTAAATTTATCTCTCTCTCTCTCTTTGTGTAATCTTGGTTGCATCCTAACCCACTGGAAGAACACAAGTAACATATTTCCACATGCAGATATCCAAGCATTCTTAAGAATAAGATGTAAAAATAAAAACCTCTTTTTACAAGTTCTCATGGAGATTCTGGAACTGCAAACATGATGTTCTGGTTTCAGTGGATTTCAAAGAAACATTTTATCCACTCTGGTTAAAAAAACAACAACACTTTACCTAGTATTTAAAGCCTTTTCTGGACATTAGATCATAGAAATGAGAAGTTATGGAGTGATTTTTTTCATAGACACTTGGGATAATATCTCCAGAGGAGTCTTTTTCTCATTTCCCATGTGAATCCAGACATGATGCTAAGAAAATAATATCTTGAATCACCAAGGCATGAACTTGATATAAGTTTGGATCAAATACTAACTTTTGCTCCCAGATTTGTCAGCTTCTGGGTATATATGATTAATTCTGCCGAGTCTTGAAGGCTCAGTAAATTCAATAATTTGTGGTTCTTCCACATAATGTTTTCTTCCCATACTATTTTTCTTATGAAATGTTCTCTTTTTCCATGGAAGTGAAAGGGGGAAAAATTACCCATAGTAGCTTTAGAGCTCACATTGCAGAGGTTATTTATTTATTTATTATTTTTTAGAAGGTGAAGGTAGGATCTTAGGGAACTAAAAGTGTTACTGTTCAATTAAGAATTCTTGGCTGGGTCTAATTTTTGGCAGGAAAAAGCTGCCAATCCTATTTTCTATGGGATGGGATGGGATGGGATGGGATGGGATGGGATGGGAAGGGAAAGAAGGGAGGGAGATGGGAATGAGAAGGAAGGAAGGAGATGGGAATGATGAGAAGGAAGGAAGGAAGGAAGAAAGAAAGGAAGGAAGGAAGGAAGGAAGGAAGGAAGGAAGGAAGGAAGGAAGGAAGGAAGGAAGGAAGGAAGGAGAAGGGCTATTGAACATTCATGGGGAATTTTTCTAATATTGCCTTTTTGAATGAACATAGATCTTTAATTAAATTATTCAAAATTGAATTTGTAATGAATTTGATAAGTATTGAAGAGAGTATATTTAAAGGAAGCATCTGTATGAAAGTCACAAATTCATAAAAATAATATTCCAAGTGCATTCAATTAGAGATAATATATGAAAATGGTTCACATATGAGTTTGCAGACAAAAATGTATCTGTTTAAAAAAGCATGCATCGAAATGCATACCAACTTTTTTGAAACTTGAAAAAACTAAAACTGTCCCCAAGTGTGAGAAACTGAACTTAGGCAACTAACAAAAACAGGAAAGCCCAAAAAAAAAAAAAAAAAAAAAAAAAAAAAAAAAAAAAAAAAAAAAAAAAAAAAAAAAAAAAAAAAAAAAAAAAAAAAAAAAAAAAAGTCAGGGCAAACCCTTTTTTATTATTATATTTACTAATATAATATATGATACAATATGCATAAAATAATATGCATAATAACACATACATGGATGTAGAAATACTTTAATTTATTCTTAAAATAACCTGATAGCATGACAGAATTAAAAAAATAAAAATAAAATAATTCACTTTAGCCAAGGTGCTAAACTTAAACGTTTTCTTGTTCCTGTACATCCACATCTGTCTCTGTGTGAAAAGTTTCAGACATTGATCATTTGTCCCAATTCTCACTTTCAAAAGTCTGCACTTGTACTGAAACATAATGTTTAAAGTGAACCTGAAAGCACCATCTGGATTGTTTTAACTCCCAGTGTTTCAGTGGATATGTAGCTCTCTAACTAACTCTACAGGTGGTCCTCAACTTACAACAATTCAACTTAATGACTGTTCAAAATTACAACACCACTGAAAAAAATGACTTAATGTAATGTAATGTAATGTAATGGAATAGAATAGAATAGAATAGAATAGAATAGAATAGAATAGAATAGAATAGAATATATGGAGTGGAGTAGACTGGAGTGGAGTGGAGTGGAGTGGAGTGGAAGAGAAGAGAAGAGAAGAGAAGAGAAGAGAAGAGAAGAGAAGAGAAGATATGGAATGGAATGGAGTGGAACGAAATAGAATAGAATAGAATAGAATAGAATAGAATAGAATAGAATAGAATAGAATAGAATAGAATATATGGAGTGGAGTGGAGTGGAATGGAGTGGAGTGGAATGGAGTGGAAAAGAAGAGAAGAGAAGAGAAGAGAAGAGAAGAGAAGAGAAGAGAAGAGAAGAGAAGAGAAGAGAAGAGAAGAGAAGAGAAGATATGGAATGGAGTGGAATAGAACAGAACAGAACAGAACAGAACAGAATAGAATAGAATAGAATAGAATAGAATATAATAGAATAGAATAGAAGATATGGAGTGGAGTAGACTGGAGTGGAGTGGAGTGGAGTGGAGTGGAAGAGAAGAGAAGAGAAGAGAAGAGAAGAGAAGAGAAGAGAAGAGAAGATATGGAATGGAATGGAGTGGAATGAAATAGAATAGAATAGAATAGAATAGAATAGAATAGAATAGAATAGAATAGAATAGAATAGAATATATGGAGTGGAGTGGAGTGGAATGGAGTGGAGTGGAATGGAGTGGAAAAGAAGAGAAGAGAAGAGGAGAGGAGAAGAGAAGAGAAGAGAAGAGAAGAGAAGAGAAGAGAAGAGAAGATATGGAATGGAGTGGAATAGAACAGAACAGAACAGAACAGAACAGAACAGAACAGAACAGAATAGAATAGAATAGAATAGAATAGAATAGAATAGAATAGAATAGAATAAAAGAATCGGAATGGACCAGCCCCCTGCTCAGGCAGGAAACCCTATATCAGTGGTGGCGAACCTATGGCACTGGTGCCAGAGGCTGCACTCAGAACCCTCTCTGTGGGCACACACACCATCACCCCAGTCCTAGGCCTTCAGCTGGGTTTTATAAAACCTTTTCACTTTAGGTCTCCGCCGCCGTGTACAAAAAAAAAAAGGTTCAATCAATCAGTCAATTTCAATTTCTCACGGGAAAAAAAAGATCTTGCAAAGTTGGAAATGATTGATTGAACTTTTTAGTCCCACCCAGTCTGCTGTTACCACTGCAGCCACACCCACCCAATGGGCCACACCCACCCAATGAGCCACACCCACCCAATGGGCAACACCCACCCGGCAACCGACGATGCATAAGTGGGTTTTGGGTTGCAGTTTGGGCACTGGGTCTCTAAAGGTTTCGCCAGCACTGCCCTATATCATTTCTGACAAACAGTTCGGAGCATTCACAACTTCTGGAGGCAATGGCATGAAGATGGCATGGAATCAGTAAGACTCATGTCTGGTTTTATTTGGATCAAATTCTAAGAGCCATTCTTAGAAATGGAGTCTGCTATATTATTATTATCTTGGACTGCAAGGCGTTCAAACCGGTCAGTCCTAAAAGAGCTCAACCCCGACTACTCCTTAGAAGGCCAGATCCTGAAGTTGAAACTCAAATACTTTGGCCACCTAATGAGAAGGAAGGACTCACTGGAGAAGGGCCTAATGCTGGGAAAGATTGAGGGCAACAGAAGAAGGGGACGAATGTGGCCCAAGGATTTCTCATTGCTCATACTTTGCTCTCTCTCTCTCTCTCTCCCTCCCTCCCTCCCCCCCCCCCCCCCCCCCCCCCCCCCCCCTCTCTCTCTCTCTCTGGACTTCATCCAGCCACCTCATTCTCTGTCGCCCCCATTAGGTGGCCAAAGTATTTGAGTTTCAACTTCAGGATCTGGCCTTCTAAGGAGCAGTCAGAGTTGATCTCTTCTATGACTGACCAGTTTGAACGCCTTGCAGTCCAAGATAATAATAATATAGCAGACTCCATTTCTGAGAATGGCTCTTAGAATTTGATCCAAATAAAACCAGACATGAGTCTTACTGATTCCATGCCATCTTCATGCCATTGCCTCCAGAAGTTGTGAATGCTCCAAGTTTTTTAAGAACCATTTGTCAGAAATGATATAGGGCAGTGATGGCAAACCTTTTAGAGACCGAGTGCCCAAACTGCAACCCAAAACCCACTTATGCATCGTCGGGTACCGGGTGGGTGTGGCCCATTGGGTGGGTGTGGCTCATTGGGTGGGTGTGGCCCATTGGGTGGACGTGGCTGCAGTGGTAACAGCAGACTGGGTGGGACTAAAAAGTTCAATCAATCAGTTCCAACTTTGCAAGATCTTTTTTTTCCCGCAAGAAATTGAAATTGACTGATTGAACCTTTTTTTTTTTTGTACACATGGTGGTGGAGGCCTAAACTGAAAAGGTTTTATAAAACCCAGCTGAAGGACTAGGACTGGGGTGATGGCGTGAGTGCCGCCTCTGGGACCCGTGCCATAGGTTCGCCACCACTGATATAGGGTTTCCTGCCTGAGCAGGGGGCTGGTCCATTTTGATTCTGTTATTCTATTCTATTCTATTCTATTCTATTCTATTCTATTCTATTCTATTCTATTCTATTCTATTCTATTCTATTCTAAAAATAGTCTATGGATTTTAATGGGAATTTAAAGAAAAAAATATATCTACAAATGGTGTCTTAAGCTTCTGAAGAAAATAAACCACTGCATTAGTGAAAGTTTTACATTTTCTCTTTCTTCAGCTGAAGAGAAATGGGAATTAAACCAAATATAAAAGAGTTTATCTTTGCACAGTTTATCTTTGCTGATGTGTCTTCAGAGTGCCTCTAGAAAACCTCCTATCTTGGGATGGCACTTGAAGTTTGCTTTCAAAATGATATCAGCCTTGAATATATTGTAGGTGTAGTGCATGGATACTCATGGGAAATTAAAGGCAAACATCCTTAGACACTATCTCCCAAGTTCCTGTAGAGAATCAGTAAATAAACTTTCTATGATTCAATCTGCTAAATGTTTTTAGCAGTGTTCCAATATCTCAGGGCCTGCCACAAAGAAGAGTGAGTCAAGCTATTCTCCAAAGCAGCTGAAGGCAGGACAAGAAGCAAAGGATGGAAACTAATCAAGGAGAGAAGCAACCTGGAACTAAGAAGAAATTTCTGACAGTCAGTGGAATGACTTGTCTCCAGAGGTTGTGAGTGCTCCATCACTGGAGGTTTATTAAGAAAAGATTGGACACCATTTATCTTAAATGGTATAGGGTCTCCTGCTTGAGCAGGGGTTTGGATTAGAAGAACTCCAAGATCCTTTCTAACTCTGTTACTCTGTTATTTTCTTTAAAAGTTATAGAAAGTATTTCTCAGTAAGACTACCATTTCACCCTCAACATACGATGTATTATTTTCTATGATCTCTTCAAAACATTGTCTTTCTAAATGGATGGAGAAATGGATTGAAAAGTATTTGTAGAAGACAAGGTAGGTAATGAAGGAAGAACAAGTCAAGATATGGGTGGAGAGCTTTTTAGGCACCTGTTGTGTAGAAGGAGGATGCTCGGTGTGGCGACCTAGTGGTGAAGACACTCACCTCCCACTCGGAAGTTTGAGAGTTCAATCCTAAGTAGTGGCGGATGTTGCTCTCCTAGGATGCAAAGAAACGGCAAACTCTGTGAGCTGAAATCCACAAAAACATACAAGTTATCAGCTGACAAGCTCAGCATCTTAACACTGAGCCACCACACCACCACCCCCTCTTTGTAACACAAGGAAACATGAATCTGACCAACTGTACAAGGACATCCGAATTTATTCTTGTTGGACTGCCAAGTATTTGGGAAATGGAAAGGGTGATGTACGTCAGTGTCTTTCTGCTTTATGTCTTCTGTCTGATGGGCAATGGGCTCATTATTGTAATAGTAAGCATAGATCGCCATCTCCAGAAACCCATGTATTTCTTCCTTAGCAACCTTTCTTTAATTGACATTGGGCATACCACAGCCTTCATACCTAAGTTGTTGATCAATTATATCTCTGCTAGTAATTCCATCTGTTTTTATTGCTGCATCATACAGATATGCTTCTATTTCCTTTTCGGGGTCACTGAATTTTTCATCATCACTTTGATATCCTTGGACAGATACTTAGCTATTTGCCATCCTTTGAGATATGCCATTATCATGACTTCGGGGGTCTGCCTTAAACTGGCAATAACCGCCTGGTTTGTAGGTTTTTCCTCCATAATTTACCAGGTAGTAATGGTTGCAAACCTTCCCTTCTGTGCCTCCAACATTATAGATCATTTCTTCTGCGATGTTGGACCCGTGTTGCAAATTGCAGGTGGAGATATAGATGTCATTGAAGTTCTTGGCTTCCTTGTTACTATACTTGTGGTGATGTCCTCCCTGCTTTTCACCCTCATTTCTTACCTCTTCATCATTTGCACCATTCTCCGAATGTCTTCAACCACCAGTCAGCAGAGAGCTTTTTCTACCTGTGCTTCCCATCTGATTGTAGTCTGCATTTTCTACGGATCAGTCTTTTTTGTCTACTTAAGACCAACCGTCAAGAATTCTTCCTTTGGTGTAATCAAGTCTGTTTCTGTGGTGAACTCCATAGTCGCCCCAGTGCTAAATCCTTTCATTTACACCATTAGGAACAATGAAGTGAAGGAAGCCGTTTGCAAAGTGTTAAGAAAAAGGATTCCAGCTTTCCCTAAAACATAGATCTCTTTGGAGAAGCAATCCTATGCTTCAGAGGACTGGAGGCTAAAACATATGAAGAACGGTTGCTGGAATTGGGTTTGTCTAGTTTAATGAAAAGAAGGACCAGGGGTGACATGATAGCCATATTCCAATATCTCAGGGGTTGCCACAAAGAAGAGGGAGTCAAGCTATTTTCCAAGGTGCCTGAAGGCAGGACAAGAAGCAACGGATGGAAACTAATCAAGGAGAGAAGCAACCTAGAACTAAGGAGAAATTTCCTGACAGTGAGAACAATTGATCAGTGGAACAATCTGCCTCCAGAAGTTGTGAATGCTCCAACACTGGAAGTTTTAAGAAGAGACTGGACAACCATTTGTCTGAAATGGTATGGGATTTCCTGCCTGAGCAGGGGATTGGACTAGAAGACCTCCAAGGTCCCTTCCAACATTATTATTATTATTATTATTATTATTATTATTATTATTATTATTATTATTATTATTATTATTATTATTATTATTATTATTATTATTACTGTTGTTGTTGTTTTTGTTGTTGTCGTTTTTGTTGTTATCGTTGTTGTTGTTGTCATCGTTGTTGTTGTTGTTAGAGTTGAAGGTCTATCCGTCAAAGATGTTTTCCCATTATTTTTCCTTGCTTTTCCTTTTCCTTGTAAGAAGCAGGAGCTGAATTCCCCTTGCCCAGTATTTGAAACTGTGATACTAATACCCATTGCTTCAATCAAGGTTGAATCTCAAGAATCCTTTGGAATGGAATGTCAGCTTTTCAATATTCTTCATTCACAATGAAAAGTTACCAACTTTTCTCACAAATCTGTACTGGCAGCAATATTAATCTACTCCATGAGTTCCTTTCTTTTGCTATTTGATCTGGGGAATCTATTGCAAGCTTTGGACATCCTAGTGGTAGTTTATTGAAGAAGGATCATTTGAATCAGAGGATAAAATATAAGATGTTCATTGAAAAAATGCAAGAGAGGAGTTTTGGTGCTTTCGGTGGTTCAATATACTTTTTAGATGCCAACCTAAAATATCATTATCTGACCTGAAAAATGACTTTCTAAAGCATTTGGTAATCTCCATCTTTTATGATAGGAAACATGAAGCTTCGGATACTTTTCCGTTTTAGATACTTAAATGTGACTGAATCTAAGAAAATTTAAAAAAAATGTTGTGAGTAAGAGTTAAAGGACTAGAGGACTAGATATATTGAATGGAATGTTTAAAGATTAAAGATTAAATATATTCTTAATTATGGTTAAAAAGAATAAGAAATTAAGGAAATAAATATGTATTAGCCTAGGAGGGATAGATATTTTAAATAGTATGTTATTTCTTATGTGTCTTTACTCTTGTTTTCCTTTCTCTTTTCTCTTTTTTCTTTTTCTTTTCTTTTTTTTTTCTTTCTCTTTTCACTGTTTTATCTATTTCTTAAGAAATGTAAAAGTGTGAGATGGCTTATATGGAAAAAAATAGAGTTAAATTTGTAAATGTAAATGTAATTAACCTTTGAGAAAATCTTCACCAGCAAGAATATCTAGAATTTGGTGGGAGAAATAAACTAAAATAAGGATTGTAACAGGATTTATGATGAGGCAATCAGAATGATTGAATAGAAAAGAAATATTATACTAATATGATTATTATTTTAGGTATATTGGGAAAAAATTATATATTAAATTGTTATTTATCAAAATAATAAGAATTGTATTAACCCAATGCTTGCAAAAGAGGTTATTTTGGGGAAAGTGGAAATCAACTAAAATTAATATGTGGAATATGGATTATAGAAATTAATTGTTAATGATTCTTTTACAAATGTAACCCAGACAACACACTGTTCAATTATTGAGTGGGGAAAAAAACAATAAAATATATATTTTTAAAAAACGGAATCATGAAGCTTTAAACTCCTGATGATTTTGAAGATGGTAGGGAAGAAAATGTTTCTCATAAATGTATGATAAAAGGTGGCAACTACTAAAATTCAATAAATTTTATGAATAGAGCTAAATAGAATTAAACATCCATGGCTGCCTATCTCATTTGCAACATTTTATCTTTTCTGTCTGATAGAATTCCCTCTCCCTTTTTTTAAAATTCAGCTTTACATTTAAATCAACCACCCCAATCTGGTTCCATCCCAATTTCAGAGGTCTGTAACATCCATAATCTTTGCCAGACTCCTGGACCTACCTCTTTCTAGTAAAATCATGTTTTCTTTTGTCCTAATTGCATTCTCTCATTTCCAATCTGCTTTATTGGACCTGAGAATTATTTTTTAACGATGAAGTCATGTTTAGAAGAATTCTGGGACATCGTTCTACATATTCAATATCCCTTGTTCATTGGGTTAATAATATACTTTCTGTTTCTGATTTCCTTAAATGAATTTATCCTTCTATATGATATCCCTGAATTGTCCCAAATCTCATAGCATAGGACTTTGTTGAGAAGTTAAGAAGAACAAATCTGTTCACAATCCATTTCCAATGATAACGTGCATGTATTCTCTGACAAGCTTACTTTAGCAAAGGTGGAGAAAGCAATGGACAACAGGGTAGGTTAAAAGCAGATGTTTTTGTTCTTTTCATGTGATGATCCTGTGATAAAAGGATTGTAGGAGAGCTACTGTGGTTTAGTACTACAAGCATAAAATAGGCAATATAGTGAATGATCCCTGATCATGTATTTGGAATTACAGCTTTTGAATTCAGTTCAATCTTGATTAGGTAACTATTGATGAAGATTGGAGTGTGAGTTATTCCGTACCAATTAGGCTATTGGGTTTATCATAATGCATTGACTCTGTATCATGATATGTTCAATAAAATATGTTCTCTAAGCTGCTTCCTTAGATTGGAATTCTTGGATATGCTGTACACTAACACAATATGGTACATTGGTTGACATGTTGGGCTAGGAATAGAAACACAGAGGTTCACATCCTCCTTTGTCATGGAAGCCGTTGAGTGATCTTGGGTCAGTCACAAACCTGACAATGACCACTTATTGTGGGGAAATAATGGATGGATATCAAGGAGAGAGGAAGAAAATAATTCTTAATATTCTTGTCCTCCTGTTCCCTGAGTAGTATCATTTACACACAGAGCAGTATACCTGAGGAATTTTCCAAATGTTACAAATGCACAGATTTTCTATTAGAAGAATAAATGAAAATCAGAAAATCAGAAGTAGTGGAGAAATCAGAAATTAGAAAATGGAAATCAGAAATCAGAAAATGGAAGGGGTAGAGAACAGAAAGAAGTTTCCTGGAGCAGAGTCAGAGTGTGAACTTTGACCCCTAAAAAGGATCCTTCTATGTGTAACACTTTTTCAGGTCTATGCATGTTACCATTTTATTGAACATTTGAACTTATTTACTGTGACCATTCAAAGCCCATATTTTGGAACTTCCTCTCTTAAGCAATATTCTACTGCCATATAGAATGATATCTAGTCAATTAGCTAAATTGTCACAAAATCCCAGAACTGGAAGGGAATATTCAGGCTATTTGGCAAGTCAAAATATCCTGAACAGGTTTTAAACATTTAGCCTCTACGTAAATATAACCTGTGATGAGAAAACCACCATTTCAATGCAGATGAATTAAAGGGTGGGGGTGGATGGGGTAGGTGGGAGATACAACAATCAATGGATTATGATCACCTGTGGTATATGAGGGCAATTCAGAAATAACCTCCATTTGGTTACCAATGGCAGACACTTGCAGATACAGAACTTTTATTATATTTATTAGTAAACTACAATATTACATTACTTTTTGACATAATCACCATTGAAATTGAGGCACTTGTCATAACGTCTTACAAATCTGGGCTATGGGGGGTGGGTGATCAAAAACATCCCAAATGGAACTGCTTCAAAAGTTCTTGGATGTGCATCCAGTGGTGTGCGGGTGAGCATTATCGTGAAACAACACCACACCGGAAATGGTGCCATAGAAAATCCCGCCAAATGTGAATATGCCAAAGGAGTGAAGTTCATGGAGCGTGACTCGACCATCAATTCAGAAGTCTACTGTGAAACATTACAAACATTACAAAAAATCAGTCAAGCCATCCATAACAAGCGTGGGGGCATACTGACTTCCGGTGTGGTGTTGGTTCACAATAATGCTCGCCCAAACTCTGCTAGACGCACCCAAGAACTTTTGAAGCAGTTCCGTTTGGGATGTTTTTGATCACACACACTCCCATAGCCCAGATTTGGCGTGCTGAGCAACTACTACTAAGGAATTGTAAGACGTTATGAAAAGTGCCTCAATTTGAATGGTGATTATGTCAAAAAGAAAAGCGAACACCAGGATAAAATAATCAAGACCATTTAATGCAAACAAGCCTGTAGATAAAAAGTCAATAAGCTTTCATCGGCCAAACTGCTGACGTCGTCAGAGCTGGAATGAAAGGAGATCTGGGAGCCGATTTATGTAACCGCCTGCTTCTGCGCCCGGCTTCTCGAACGCATCATCGGCCCGTTGATTGTGCTCGTCTGTAATGTGCCCAGTTGCTCCGCATCTGGCGGCCTGTCCCTGGCCCCGATGGTTGTTCTTCGATCCTCAATCACTCTTCTGGTGCGTGTACAAGTGACCGGGGGGTGGCTGTCAAAACATCTCTGTGCCTTGTCTCCCTCCCCTCTTGGGGGATCTCAGATGCTGTTTCTCAAGCTGCGATTAGGGATGATGATGCACTCGAGAAGCCGGGTGCAGAGGCAGGTCGTTATATAGGCTAGCTCCCAGAGCTAGTTCCTCTTTGCATTTCACCATACCATTCATCCAGAAGAAAACAAGGCATGAGTCATGTTGATTCAAAATCATCTATTCTAAGCATAATCTATGGAAACCTATGGGAATTGAGAATAAATATCTCTAGAGATGGTACCACAAACGTTTGTACAAAATTAACAACAACAACAACAACAACAACAACAACAACAACAACAACAACAATAATAATAATAATAATAATAATAATAATAAT